TCCCTTGTTTTTGGTCAGAGAGCATTTCAAATCACATAAGTACACTTAGCTTATAAAGTGTGCAGGACATGTAAGCATTAATTGACTTCTCCAAAACATTCAGTTTCAATTTCTAGCCAAACTTTACTGTTACAGAATCCTAAAACTGATCTGTGAACCATAGTGTTGATTTGACTACAAACTTAAATAAGGCATATGAATGTTCTGACCTCTCTCTCCCATACACACACACACACACACACACGCGCACACGCCCTCTCCACAACATAGGCTAAGGACATATACAACCTAGAATGACATTCACCCACCACTGGCTGTCCGTCTCCGTCAGTCTCTGTCTCTCACACCGTTTGCGGGAGCGGTGGAGGAGTCCGATAAGAGCGACAGCGGCACGGACACCTGCTCTCCGACAGCGCACTCTGGACCTGAACTCAGACATGGCCAAACCTCAGGTTCAGTCTCAGTCTCCTGTCACATCACACCGACACCAGCTACGGCTGAATCTGCATCGTCACAATCTCCAAAGATGAGGTGCTGTCCTTGCCAGCACAGACTGTATGTGTGCATCCTTCACTGTGAATACCTCTTATTCTCTCTCTCTCTCTCTCTCTCTCTCTCTCTCTCTCTCTCTCACCCACCCTCTCAAATGGCATTTCACTTTGACACCTTATTCTCGATTAAGGAGCTTTGATTGCTTAACCTCTGCTTTTCTGTAGACATTTCCACTATTCACCACTCTTTTTCTCACCGCACACAGACACATACATATATACAAGCTATTTATATAACTGTTTTTTTCCCTTTCTTTTCTGTTTGTCACTTTGCATTTTATATGTCTTGAAAGTTCACAGTATGGAATTATTGCTATTCCAGCTCTTTTCCTTCATTCGATACAGCGATTATATGGTGTGTGTGTGTGTGTGTATTTTGTTACTGCCCTGTAGGCACATTTTTATCTGTGACAAGACTTTCAATCTCTTTAATGTTGAGTTAACCTTTCTCAATATCTCAAAAGACACCAAATCCTGAACAAAATACCAATTACATTCATGTTGTTCTAGATAAGAATTCTAACTTATAGTCCCCCTGTGGTGAAAATCAAGTTTGTGTATGTTGTTTATATGTCTATGGTGTTTTCAATGTGCTTTAAGACAAACCATGTGCAAATTCATAAGTAGAGCCCGACCGATAAAGGATTTTGAAGGCCGATACCGATACAACTATTTGTTGGTTTTAAAATCCGATATATCGGCCGATATTTTTATATTTATTTTTTTTATTTCAGAAACGTGCAACAAAACATTAACAGATTTCCCTAACATTAGTTATTTGTAGGTATTTAAGACTAAAATAATATGATAATGCATTTTAAAAAGAAACTTGTTTCTTTTATTGTCACAACAGAACAGACTGATGATAGTGGCATTAGCCAGCTTTGTGGTTAGCTAGTCTATGATGAGCCATAATTTAGCAATGGAAAACGTCATACTGCAAATTGTAAAACATACATTTTCAATATAACAGGCCAAGGAGAGATGATACGTCTCATTGCTATAACTGTCACGCGCTATTAAAGAAATACTTCAGTCACGTTGTCAAAAGTTAAAAGGACAGTCAGTCAACACTGTAACAACGTAACGTAACTATTACTAGCTAATTCCGCTTCACTCTCAGCTTATTTAACAGCAGCAAAACTGGACATGATAGTCACAAATGTTGTCATGCTTATTTGAGTTAAGAGAACTGATGGGGATGTTCTTTTTAATTGTTATTCAAGAAATGTATGTCTCGTGACCAACTCAACGAGTGTTGCCAACAGGAACGGTGAAGAGTGGCCTCTGGTGGACAAACTATACAACTCCAACACTCATGACATGGTTCAAGCGTGTCTCTTCCGTTTTTTTTATATTTTTGAAATATTAATTTATCGGCCATTATAACTGCCGATACCGATAGTTTGGAAAATGCCTAATATCGGCCGATAATATCGCCCTGCCGATATATCGGTCTGGATCTAGTTTCTTCCGTTTTTATTTTATCTTGGAAATATTCATTTATCGGCCATTCTAACTGCTGATACCGATAGTTTGGAAAATGCCTAATATCGGCTGATATATCGGTCTGGCTCTATTCATAAGTCAACACCATTGCTGAGTGTTTTATCTTCAAAATGGCGGTGAACAAAAGACAGTCTAAAAAACGCGGTTTGAAATAGCTGGTGTTTCTGATGTCACAAACTACATTGTAACCAATCACGTTATGAGGGGGCGGGATTTAGCATATCAGTTACAACGAACTAGCAGGGGAGTCTTGAGAGATGCCAGGTTTTTGTTAGCAGAGGGTGTATGGTATATATATTACGATGTTATATGGACTATGCCTTTCTCCACTGAAGTTCTGTGTTGTTCGAAGCATTTCTGATGATTGTTAGAAGGCAGACTGAGATGGCGAACGGGAACATAGTTTGCGTAACATTAGCAATACATTATTAGATGATTGATAACATAGTCAACCAAAAGTCTAATCATTTTAATTACAGTTATGTGTCCATTTTAAAGAGCCGTACTATACCATTGTGCAACGTTTACTTCAGTAAGTGGCTATGAAATCCCTGGAGGCGGGGCTAATTCACATATTCAAAGATCCACGTATACTAAACGAAGCAAGGGTGTAGAGTTGCATTCAAGCTATTTTAAGGCATGAAGAATTGTCTTTTTGGTGATCAAAGATGAGTTTTAAGGGATAGGCCTACAATTACTGACTTCTCTATTATAATTCATAAAAGAGTGATGTTTGATATGTTTCTATTTTGTTTTGAAACTTTGATGTATTAAACTCTACAGAAGGATTTTTGAGGGCTGTTTATACTCACTGCAATTATAAGCCAGTTTTTCATCATTTAATTTCACCTGCTGTGCAAATCCTCTACTACTTGTTACAATTTCGAGCAACAAGAGAGCGTGTGAACACAATGAGCATTAAATGCTTCAGCGGATTTGCTAGAGCTGAAGGAAATCGCTCTATGATGAGACATTCAGACTCATCAAGAGCTGTGTGTCACAGATTAATGGTTGCCAGACAAATATTCCAGTACAACACGTGTAAAAATATGCAATATGATGAGCTTATAGGCTCATTCTAAAAACAGTCACGAAACACAACCGATTCTCGATGTGCAATGGATGATTCGAGCACTTTGGCTCATGAGATATGGTGAAATGATACTGAATCTCATACTAAGGGTGCTATTTGGTAAAAACAGGAGATTTTAGTTGTATCATGTAAGCCTCCAGACAGTGCTAAAGTGATAAAGAGCGATTCTCACAGGAGTTACGCACTGAAACGTGTGAGATAAGGAATGTTAAGTGGGAGTGGAGATGATATTTTCACGTGAGAAAATCATACAATGCAGCAATTTAAAGGTGTGAATGTCATCATCTGGATGTATCCGATTGGAGTTACATTAAACAACTATGATTTTAAGCAAAATAAGCTTTATCTTTTTTGGTTTTTTACAATTTCTAGGACACATTTCTCAAGACTTAGATCACTTTTTCAAATCTCTTTCACCAACTTTCAGTTGTAACGGTCACCAGCTGGAGTGCCCTTGATACCCACCAGTAGGCACTCCAGATTAGTCTTGTATCACTCTCAGACTACATTTCCCATAACTCATTGCTCGGACTCATCTTCACTGATCACACTCACCTGTACCTTGTTCTCTGATAGCATTCACCTGTGTATCATCCTGTTTGTCTGTCTATATATACCTGGTTCATTTGTTCAATCCCTGCGAAGTCTTGTTGTACTGTTTGTCTGCATTTCTGAGCATTTTCTGTGTTTGTTTTCTGGTTTTTTGACTTTTGGATTGTTCTTGGATTTTGACTATTGCTGCCTGCCCTGACCTCTGCCTGCTTCTTGGATTCCCATTGTGTATTCTCCATTGTCCTGTCTGCTGATTCTCGACCCTGCCTGTACGACTATTCTTAATAAAGCTGCATTTGGATCTACATCTCCCAGTCTCGGAGCAGTTCGTAACAGAAGACTTCGCAGCTTTATTTGAGGGCAATCCAGAGGCGTAATCCAATGTACAGGCAAGGGTCATACACAGATAGGCAGTCCAAGACAGATACACAGAGAAACAAACAAAACAGGCAGGGACCAGAGGCAAGAGAGTAATCCAGGGAACAGGGCAAGATATCCAAAAACCAAGAGACAAGAAAACCGTAGAATGCTCAGAATTGCAGTGTAACACTAAAACAAGACTTCGCGGTGAGTGACTGAATGAACATGGTATATATAGACAGACAAACAGGATGATACACAGGTGAATGCTATCAGAGAACAAGGTACAGGTGAGTGTGATCAGTGAAGATGAGTCCGAGCAATGAGTTATGGGAAATGTAGTCTGAGAGTGATACAAGACTAATCTGGAGTGCCTACTGGTGGGTATCAAGGGCACTCCAGCTGGTGACCGTTACATTTTTATTGCTCCAAGTATACATTCGCTGCGATTTGTTCCTTTCACGCCAAACATCCATAAGTCCTAGACGCAAACATGTATTTTTAAGTTCACAATTTATGTTAACAGGTTTCGGAGGCCATCTATCTAAATTATCATCAAATACTGTGTTAAAATCACCTCCCCATAACACCTTAGCTTCTGAAAATTTCAAATTAAGTCGACAAATTCTATCCTCCACATTTTTAAAGAGAGTTCGATTTTTAATTGAGTCATTGGTGGCATAAATATTAACCATTATGAATTGTTTCTGCTCTAACTCACATACTAAAATAATGAATCTTCCTGAAACATCCTTTTCACTATGTAAAATTTGACCCTTAAAATTTCCTTTTAAAATAACCACGCCTGCTGATCGATTATTACCATTCGAAAACCATATTTCACTGCCCCATTGGCTCTTCCAAAAAGATTCATCTTCTGCACATGCATGAGTTTCTTGAATAAAATAAAAGTCGGCATTTTTACCTCTGCAGTACAAAAAAAAAGCTTTCCTTCTAAGTAAATCTCTTAAACCTCTGGCATTGACAGAACAAACGAAAAGAGACATAAAAGAAACAAAAACAAATTACTAGCTTAACTTGGTTAAACTTTAGTGTTTTCTATAGGCAACAATCTTCTTGCGCAAATAAATAGAACTTTTGCATAAACCATCCTCTTTTCACAATTAAACTTCACACTTTGGATTTTTTTTTTTTTTTTTTTTTTTTAATCAATTTCTAACGTCTCCTTGAAGCTTTTCCTTTATCACGGTAAGAGGATAAACCTGAGAAACTTTATGAACAAAATGTAAATATTTCCCGAACTGACTACCTGTTATACAGTACATCTAGGTTGGAAGTATTTCTTTGCCATCGATGAACGCTCTCGCCCCGCTGAAATAAGCAGCTTTGCCTTCTTTCCTGGCTCGGTCCACCGCGGGCCATAGTCGACTCCTTGCTTCCTTATCAGCAGCTGTGAGATCCTCCTTGAAGCGTAAGCTTTGAGTCTTGAGAAAAGGACTCTGCTTGGCATGTTTCCAAATGAGATCCCTCGCCGTTCTTGTAGTAAATCTGATGATGATCGGCCGTGAATTCACCCGCTTAAGCCTAGTTCACACTACGTGATTTTAAGCCCGATTTAAGCCCGATTTGCAAATCGTTGAGTCGCCGACAAGTCAGGGTGTTATCGCGTGCAAATCGCGGGCGATTAGCGGACGATTAACGCTCGCCAATCAGTTAGTGTGAAAGAGCCAACAACGCATCAAAGACAGCTCGCAGACAGCTCGCAGACAGGTCACCGAGCTCAGAAAAATATCTAGCATGCTAGATATCTCGCCCAGTCGCGCGACTCAATCTCAGTGATGTCATGAGTACAGCCAATCATAGCAACGCATGGGTTGAGGACACCAGGTAAATCTTACTTTTTCTTTTTGCATTTTTTTTCTCAGAGCAGATCGTCGAGCAAACAGTGTGCAGCACTAGTTTCTGTCTGACGTCCATATTCGCGTGTTGTGTTCTTCTCTGCAGTTTCGCGTCATTTCTGGTTCGTTTTATTGCGTGGTTTTTCGTTACAAAACATGGTTTCTAGACCAGATAGAATCGTGTTGTTGTCAACTCGTTATTTGTTTGATTATTTTTCAGGATTTAGACCGTATTATAGTACTGAAACAGCTCTCATTGAGTCACAAATGATATGCTCTTATCATCCGATCGTGGTTGTATCTCTATGTAGTGCGTTGTTAACTCGTGTAGTGAGTTACCTCCTGTTGTGGATCAATCACGTTGTGTTGTGTGGTGTGAACAGCTAAACAACTTGAACACTCATGATTTCACTGAGAGCAAGTCATGTAGTGTAAACTGCACAGTTCAGCCCGACATTTTAAAATCATGTAGTGTGAACTAGGCTTTATCCTCCCCGGCTCTGAGTCGGCCGACTCGGTGTGCGATGTCCACCGCCGTCGTCACTACGTTCCTCTGCTCCTCCGGGACCACGGCTCTGCAGATCTCCTTCACTCTCTCTTTCACATTTTCCGATGAATTTTCCGCCACTCCTTGAAGTCGTAGGCACCACCTGCGGCTGTATCGTTCCTGGTCATTCATCCGCTGGTCCAGTTCTGCAGCTTTTTTCCTCAGTTCCATATTTTCTTTTTTCAAACTTTCGTTTTCTTTTTTCAGACCCATAACATCAGAATGAATTGAGTTTAAACTTTCACAAACGCTTTCAATTTCTTTGGAGTTGTTCTTTATCATTGTTTCCAAGTGGTCTGCTCGGTTGTTGATTTTCTCTGTGATAATCTGTATAATGTTGTTCTGGACTTCCATTAAACTTGGCTCTGAAGCTGCGGTTGGTTCAACATTCTTCGTTTTTTTTGGTGCAGGGGTCTGATTTGGTGTACTAGGTGAAGATTCACATCTTCCACCAGCTTTACAGGCGTATGAATGAATGTCGTCATGTTTTCTTTTTTCTTTAGCCTGGTCCACTTCCATCACTTCCAGCGCGGACAACTGCTTTCTAGTCGACATAATTGCTAGCCTACCTAGCTTTACAAGCTAACACTTCAGCGTTGTTCAACGACAGCAATAAAGTTATTATTTGTATGTTCAAATAGTCATCCACAGTTCTTATAACGAATCCATAGATTGTTCACTTTATAATTGGGGAGGAAAAATATGCACTACATTAAAAAGTTTTGCAAGAAACGTGTTGCCGTACCTCCACTCACGAAAACACGCCTTATCACCACGCCATCTTGGCCCCGCCCCCATTGCGCTCTTCACTCCCTTCCCTCCATCTGAATTTCAAGCGTCATGATAATCACGTGACTGAAACCCGGCTATTAAAAAATGGAATCGCAAATTGATATTGAGTCTCCCGCATATTGATAGCGGCTCCCTGATGCACGCAAATTAGTTAAAATCTCCACAACTGTTGGAGACCAAAACTGTTAAACCAGTGATTTATTATCGCCGTGTGTGGGGTCTCTCAGGTTTGGAAAATGTTAAAATCGTCCCGTGTGAACCAGGCTTAAGACAGAGAGCATCCTGATTGGCCGATTGATAAAAATCGAGAATCGAATCGAACCGTGACCTTAGAATCGAAAATGTAATCGAATCGAGGATTTGGAGAATCGTCACACGGCTATCAGTTATATTACTAATTTTTGTCTTTAACGCAAGCAGACAATGTTAGAGGAGGCTGACAGAAAAAAGGCTTGTTACTAAACAGAACAGATATTCAATCTCTGCTGCCACCTCATTAAGCTCTGTTGAAGGCTGTCTCCATTTGAAGGATCCTTGGAAGACAGCCTTCCTTCACTCAGCTTATTTTGAAGGATGCATTATCAGATGCATCCTTCCTTCAGGTCCTCCAATCACTCACAACCCATTGCACAATTTCCCAGTAATGATTGATGAATGATAAAAAAAAACATTGATAGCTAATCAGAATCTATCCAAGTTCAACATCATCATACCTTGATGTGGACCCCAGTATTAATAAAATAGTTCTATTTTTTTGTCCATTTATAATCGTCATGAAGGGACAAAGAGATGCATTAAGCTTTATCTGATGTGATGCATCAAATATTAAACTTCATCTGGCCTCTAGGAGCACAAGCTGCCGGTTGCTACCAAATGAATGTGTTTTGGTACACAGTGTCATAATAGAGGGCACATGCTCACAAAACACTTCAAAGGCAACACAGGGAGAGACTTCTGGACCAATCTTGTACATTCAGCCTTTTTGCTTGTGGATGTTCTGGGGTTTTAATAAAAAAACAGTGAAAAGGAGAGGGGCATGAACTACATAGGAAGCCAATGCCAGTCTGTGTGGCATCCCTGCTGAGAAGAGAAGGGCAGACTGAAACATGTGGACTTTAGATATTTACCCACTCAAATCTCAGTTGCTGTTTTCACGTTTTAAAATATAGTGCTCTTGTACTCTGTCTGTGTCTGAGCCCAAAAGAGCCCAAAGGGCTTTAAACGATTCCAGACGATGAATAAGGGTCTTATCAAGTGAAACGATCACTCATTTAATAATAAAAATATCAAAGTTTAAGTTTTATAAGCTCAAATGGCCGTCTTGCTCTGTTCTGTGATGCGCGTTCGTGACTCTCCTGTTCGAACTTGTTTATCAAAATGAACGAATCTTTTTTGTGTCATTTGGTTCATTCAATGAACGAAAAGAACAAATTGACTCGGGAAATTGTGATGAACGATCAGCAAAAGTTTTTTTTAAAGTGAACTACTCCTTTAATACATTTCAAATAAGTAACAAACAGTAGATTTTATAGAGCTAATCAACATAAATATTGATTTAATAATTGATGCCTTAATTATTAATAACCATTTCACAGAAATAATGTTTACAGGATGACGTTAAATTGTTCTGATATTGGTAATTCTAACTACAAATATTAGTATACTAATTTAAAAAGTTGTCCACACTATTTCTTCTGCAACATCATTGTGAACTTTAGTAATGATACGTTTGGTAAACTTCTAAATTATTATGCAAATCTCCGCATGAGAGACCCACAACTAGTAGATCAAAGTGCTACTACATTTCTCTCCGAAATGGTAGGAAATTGAATTAAATTGAATGTGGAGGAATTTATCTGTGACTGTGGCAGTTTAAACTGTGACATGATGAATGTAACTAACCAACAGCTGTCTGTTAAAGACACAATTATGACGTAGTATGTCCCAAAGTTTCTGCTACACATTCAAAATGTACTTTTCTCCATAAAACACGTACTTTTACGCAGCACTTGGCTAGAAACTAAGACAGTGACAGTCTGCCGGGTCTTATCTGTGATTGCATGTGTGTATCAGACATGAAGGCAGCAGGGGGCCAGTTTTCCTCACACGTGTGCGCCGGCGGATCTGTGGACTTGAATACTAAGCATGCGGCTCTGGTTGTGCATCTTCATGTCATGACACATATTTCGTAATTTTCAATTGTGGTAACAACTCTGATGATGGAAAGACACTGTCCACATCTTCACACATTTCCTATTACAAAAATATTACAAAATAATTCACTTTGAACACTTTGTAAACATTTGAGTGCAGGCTAATGTTTATCTGATGTTGTGAATGTGCCTAATTTCTAATATGTATTTCTACTTTCTGCAAATGTGGGTATACCTTGGTGTTACATTACTTTTTTTTTAAAATGTTCAAGACAAATACAGTAACATTTCATTTGTGTGAAATACAAATTATTCTGACATAAAATAAACTTAGTATGACAATAACAAAACATGATGATTTTGATATTTAATACTTTTAGTACACATATTTTATTTGATGCCCAAAAGCATGATTTAAAAGCATATTTAGATGTCCATCATTTTGCTAACAACACTATAGTGCATTATTTTCCCCATTGCAAAAAAAATCAACAGTGTAAAAAAATATTTTCAAGATTTGTTATCACAACATATTTTCTTTTGTCAAATCAACTTTATAATAATTTATTTAGTTGAGATAACTTATTATTTTGAGTTTCTGATGATTAAATGAATCTCCTTCATTGTATTAACTCACTTTTTCCAGTTCAATCAACTTAAAATTTTAAGGCAACCGAGGTTACTTACTTTTTTAAGTTAAACCAACAATATTTTTTTACAGTGTAGTAATCACAACATTTTTTCTTTTGTCATATCAACTTAATTAATTTATTTAGTTCAGATAACATATAATTTTGAGTTTCCGATGATTAAATCATTCTCCTTCATTGTATTAACTCACTTTTTCCAGTTCAATGAACTTAAAATTTTAAAGCAACCAGGTTACTTACTTTTTTAAGTTAAACCATCAATATTTTTTTACAGTGATAGTCTTTTAATGTCATCATGTCAGTCAGTTATAAACAGCAGAGTGTGTCATTTTTTGTAAAGAAATTTTACAAAAGCGAACATTGTATAATGCGACCTGTTTGTTAACGTTTTTAGGCCATTGTTTTAGTGAGTTTGTTGGTTGACAACCTTTGCTAGTGTTATGAAAGAAAAAGTTGATTTGAGACATGAATGAAGTGTTTACTTGGAGTATTAGTGCTGTGCAAAACTGATGTTACGAACTGCTCCGAGACTGGGAGATGTAGATCCAAATGCAGCTTTATTAAGAATAGTCGTACAGGCAGGGTCGAGAATCAGCAGACAGGACAATGGAGAATACACAATGGGAATCCAAGAAGCAGGCAGAGGTCAGGGCAGGCAGCAATAGTCAAAATCCAAGAACAATCCAAAAGTCAAAAAACCAGAAAACAAACACAGAAAATGCTCAGAAATGCAGACAAACAGTACAACAAGACTTCGCAGGGATTGAACAAATGAACCAGGTATATATAGACAGACAAACAGGATGATACACAGGTGAATGCTATCAGAGAACAAGGTACAGGTGAGTGTGATCAGTGAAGATGAGTCCGAGCAATGAGTTATGGGAAATGTAGTCTGAGAGTGATACAAGACTAATCTGGAGTGCCTACTGGTGGGTATCAAGGGCACTCCAGCTGGTGACCGTTACATAGCCCCCCCTTTAAGGAGCGGATTCCAGACGCTCCTCAAAATGTCCAGGAGGGAGGTGAAGCAGAGGCGGACCTGGGGGCGGGATGGAGGGCCAGGCCCGTGGAGCGGAAGAGGACCTGGAGACTGCGGCGGAGCTGGCTGTGGAGGCGACCAGGTCGGAGCAGGCTGTGGAGGTGGCCAGGGCGGAGCTGGCTGTGCGGGAGGCCAAGGCAGTGGAGACCCCTCGGGCGGCCACGGCGGCGAAGACCCCTCGGGCGGCCACGGCGGCGAAGACCCCTCGGGCGGCCACGGCGGCGAAGACCTCTCAGGACCAGACACCGGCTCAGGAACAGACACTACAACAGAAATGGTCACAAGGACAGATACAGATACAGACACAGAAACAAACACTGGATCGGGAGCAGACACTGGATCGGCCATCTTGTCCGGAGACACTGGATCGGCCATCTTGTCCGGAGACACTGGATCGGCCATCTTGTCCGGAGACACTGGATCGGCCATCTTTTCCGGAGACACTGGATCGGCCATCTTGTCCCTAAACAGTGGCTTGGAGGCGGTGACGTGAACTGTCTCTAAATTGGCAGAAGTAACATGAACAGTCTCTGAATATGCCATCTTCTCTATAGACACTGGCTTGGAGGCGGCCATCTTATCCGTAGACACTGGCTCGGAGGCGGCCATCTTGTGCGTAGACACTGGCTCGGAGGCGGCCATCTTGTGCGTAGACACTGGCTCGGAGGCGGCCATCTTGTGCGTAGACACTGGCTCGGAGGCGGCCATCTTGTCCGTAGACACTGGCTCGGAGGCGGCCATCTTGTCCGTAGACACTGGCTCGGAGACGCGAAGCGTCTCTGGCTCGGCAGAAGTGACGTGAACAGGCTCAGACTCGGCAGGGCTGACATGGAACTCAGGCTGGGCTGTCTCGGCGGGACGTGACTCTGGCTGGGCTGTCTCGGCGGGACGAGACTCTGGCTGGGCTGTCTCGGCGGGACGAGACTCTGGCTGGGCTGTCTCGGCGGGACGAGACTCTGGCTGGGCTGTCTCGGCGGGACGAGACTCTGGCTGGGCTGTCTCGGCGGGACGAGACTCTGGCTGGGCTGTCTCGGCGGGACGAGACTCTGGCTGGGCTGTCTCGGCGGGACGAGACTCTGGCTGGGCGGAAGTGACGTGAAGCGTCTCTGGCTCGGCAGAAGTGACTTGAAGCGTCTCTGGCTCGGCAGAAGT